GTATACCTCATATATACATACATATATATATATATATATATATATATATATATATATATATATATATATATATATATATATATATACATATACATATATATATATATATATATATATACCAACATACCTGTATGTACAGTCGCTCAAAACACCTCGACTCATGTTGTCTCGGTAGGGTTGTCAAAATTCTTCGCCCGTTGTGTCATATTGTCTCACACAAAATCGTACCTGGTGGAAAGGCAGGGGGTGAAGACACTGCTGTCTCGCAATGACGACACACTACTACTGAAAATGACGCTAATGTTCACACCTGTTTCTCACACTTTCCTTCTCTTTCTTAATCCTTTTCCCCCCTCTGTATGTGAACCTCTGCAACTCCCCCCGGACCCCTGCACCATCAGTTGTTTACTCATATATTAAATACTAAAAAAAGAAAAAACACGCGAAAACCTGATCAGTTCTGAGTATCTGTGTGTTCGTCATTAATGTGCGCGTCACACACACTTCCTCTTCACCCTGAACTTCGTGTTTTCTCTTCGTTCATTTCCATCCTGTGTTCAAAGTCCTAGTCCTCCCCTTCCCCCCGATTTCACCATCCTCCCCCACCCTTCCACTCCCTCCTAACCTGTGGCCATAACCTCTCCCTATAACACACCTGCGTCAGGAGCCAAAAATTACAAACATTACAACATATCCTGTGAGCGAGGAGCTTCTGCATTCCTTTATTAGTTGTTTACTATGTGTGTGTGTGAGTGTGTGTGTGTGTGTGTGTGTGTGTGTGTGTGTGTGTGTGTGTGTGTGTGTGTATTTATTGCTCTCTCTCTTTCTGTGTGTAAACGTTTGTTTGTTTGAATGTGCATATTTTCATTTATTTGCTTGCATGTTTTTGCGCAAATTTATTTTGTTTACTTTTTTGTGCATATGTGTGTTGAAGTAGACGGTAACAGGTGTTTGTGACATAGGTGGGTGTTGGTACGTATGGTGGGGGTAAGAGATGGTGGCGGCAGGTGTGACTGACGACAGGTGTGGTTGGTTACAGGTGACATTTAGCCTATGGGAATCCTGTCAGTCTTGTGGAGTTTCCTTTGTAACTTTACTAAAATTTAATGATATCCACATGTAGACTTGTACACATGTAGATATGCATTGAGTCATATCAGCTAATATTGTTGACTTAGTCATGTCCTGCGTGTGGTCGCATATGATACACCATGCCATGATTAAGCTAGACCACGACACCGGAAGATGAGCCTTTCCGGTGAGACTACATGTACAGTCAAAGAAAAAAGCCGCATTACACTCACCGTGCCTAATTTTCCGAAACTCTTGCTGAAAGATTTGGGCAAAATTCCCCGTCACTTTTTTTTATTTTTTATTTATTGGGCACTCCCCTACATCCTTGTGTAAGGTGAAGCGCAGAAGCGTTTACAGTGCCCAACAGGGAAGCATGCTAAGTTCATGCTTGCCTTTATGTCTCATGAGTTAAGGGCGTAGAAGCCTGAAGAGTCAAGGGCATAGAAGCCTGAAGAGCCAATGGTTTGTGTCATCAAGTTATTGGAAGCTCCAACAACTTGTCCCTGAATACGAATTCGCAACTTTCGACTTACAACAGGTACCTACTTTACTGCTAGGTGAACAGGGACTAATGGGGGCTAGGAAGTGTGTCCAAACAACTTCCACTGGCCCGGGAATCGAACCCGTGACATCTCCCTTGCGAAGGCAAGAGCGGTACCACTCTACCACCAGCACCCCCGTCACTGACACAGAAGCTACGAGGTTCGAATCTGAACCACCAAAATTAGTCTTTGTTTACCAACATGCCTGTGTGTACAGCCGGTCAAAACACCTCGACTCATGTTGTCTCGGTAGGGTTGTCAAAATTCTTCGTCCGTTGTGTCATATTGTCTCACACAAAATCGTAAAGATACTTTCCGACTCGCCTACTTCGACTTGTGCCAATGGATAGTGTACATAATTTGGAATGAAGTGTGCTTACCACAGTTCAACAAATGTTCAGAGTCTCTTCCAGGAATCACTGCTAGTGTGCATATGTTGATGAAACGAAGGCAGGTGAACATCTGAAGCGAACAAGACACAACACCCAGTTCACTTGGGAAGCCGAAGCAAACAAAGCATATTATCTTTTTATATACATCTTTGGAAGATCAAATTCTGTTTTTAAAATGTCATACATTAATAAAAATTTGGTCAACAAAGCATCCTCATTTGATGATGTATCCTGGAAAAGATTTCAGAGTTCTTGTTTAAGATTAACATCATTCCATTTACAAATATCTTTAATAATTCGTCAACATCATGTCCCTGATTGATCTTGACAAGAGAATCGGTTATGAAGATTATGTACAGTGTCCTTTTAGGGATTAGTTGCTGGATGACTTCCACCATTAATCCTCTTCATTCAAAATTTCCTCTCAGGTAACTATAGTTGAGCCAAACGTTAAAATGTGCTGTCAGGTTAGGACCTTATGACTGTACAGAA